CAAAGCAAACGTGGGGATGTCCTTTGCAGGCGGCTAGAACTGGCCGCCCTCAAAGGACCTCCCCGGGCTTGCTTTGCTAAACACGGGGCGACTGATGCTAGTTTGAGCAGCTGCGGCCGGTGCAAACTACCATCAGTCGCTCCGTGCTCATCAAAACAAGTCTGGGGAGGTCCTTTGAGGGCGGCCAGTTCTAGCCGCCTGCAAAGGACATCCCCACGTTTGCTTTGAAAGAAACCTCTGCGCGGCAGTTAGAAACTGCTGCGCGGGATTTTCTTGCCATGTGCGCGGCCGCGCACGCGCGCACCTTAGAGGGAACAGTGCCTAACAGGACACCTGCAAATCAGCTCCAGAATTATATTCTGTTTCCCACTTTTGCTAATTCTGGGACTGGCAGATTTATATTCTAAGGGTTTTTCTGGATTCTAATCATCCTGGATTCTTGAGCATACATGAAAGATTCAGTCAATAAATGTTAGAGTAGTAAAGGCTTAGGAGTAGAAAGAGTTAGAAGCTGTAAATAAATTGAAATATATTCACTTTTATTACAATAATACAGGTATAGCTATTTGTTTTGGTCAAAAGTTCTTAATGGAATCAAGAAGATTATATGGAATTTACCCTGTAGCTAGTTTATTTCTGCATTTCCAAACATAAATTTATGTAGAATAGAGTAGAATAGCTTTATTGACAACTCTGATTAGATACACAAGGGATTACTCTTTGATGTATAAGTTCTCAGTATACATGCAAAACAACAAAGTGATAATAATCACAATAACAAAGGATAATAATCATAATAATGATACACATAGAGAAGGTAGTGGAACAGATGAGAAGGATAAAAATGATACAGCCATACTATATGGTTAATCTACTTAGACATAAGACAGAACTGTGTAAAATAATGTGTTCAGCAGAGTGATGGCAAGGAAAAAAACTATCTCTGTGTCTAGTTGTTTTGGCATGCAATGCTCTGTAGCAACATCCTAAGGAGAAGATTTGAAACACTTTATGTCCAGGATGCAGGATAAGACATTAATTCCATTTCTCTTAGCTGCCAGTTTTGCCATTGCAAAAAACTTGGTAAACAAAAATATATCTTCCTCTGAATCAGTAGTATGTAAAAATGAGATACACTGCATTGACTGAAATTAACAGCAAAGATGTAGAACCTTATAATCAAAGGCCATTTTATTCTTTTCTAACCTGCATTTCATAGTTTTAATAATATTTTTTTCATGATAGTTTATCTTATTTTATTCAAGTACATTTTGGAGAGGAAATACTAAATGTGTATTTAAAAAATTTCTCCTTAGGTTTACCTATTCATGTATATAGTCTCCCAATGCCCTTTTTTACTTTAATTCCCCCTTTTCCTGATTCTATTAATTACATTATAATTAAGAATTATTATAATTTACATTATTAAAACATTACTAAAGAAGAATGCAAATCCTCCTATTTTGTATATTCTTTTCTGATCTTTAATGAATTTAATAAAATTGTTGCGGGACAAGTAAAAGTTTATCCATACAAATAGGGCACCAACACTGAATGGCTTGTAAACCTTACCTAGCCAAGCATAAGGACAAGCTATTCAAAAATATTAATAAAAGGTTAGGGTGCCAATTGACGAGTGGGCAAAATGATGCTATTAGCAGAACTGATTAGTAAAAGTGAACTGTGCCATTAATATTGCTGTCAAGAACTGCAGTGTGGATGCAAACAGGCCAAGCTTTGCTTACTCATCTTTGGGGTGCAGCACTGCCAGATCTTCAGGAATCCATAATCCAAGAACTTGTGAGATACACTGGCCAATTACTCTTAATCTCCATAGCACCTTTCCTGAGCCATCATGAAGAATATTCATAAGCTGTTTCCCCCCCTTACTACTTCAATCCCCGTTTGGGAAGAAAGGGACAACTTACCATGCTACATCGAAGCGAAAGCCCAGGTCAAATATTGTATAGCAGATTCCTGAAAAACAAAAGCAAAGTTGAATGTTTCAACTTTGAAAGTTGAAGTTAGTCCCTATTTCTCAATGCCTGAAACTGTGATGGTACAAGTATCAAAATCATCATTCTCAGAACAGACAAATAATATCAAGTCTCCATAGGGAAAAAAATAAAAATATCTGGGTTTCTCGTATAATCTCTTCATTCAATTTACACCATAAATCTTCATATAAAGCCAAATTACTTTTCAGGACAAAACTTTCTACTTATAAATGGGTGGGATGAGCACAGACCAATTGTTGAAGACCAAATATACCAAATATCATACACTATAGCTAGGTGGGGGGGGGGGAAGTCATATATGCTCAGAGTAGAATTTTCAGAAAAATGAACACTTCACAAAATTAGTTAATGACACACTTATGGGAAATATGTATCAGCATATACTAATAGAATATGACAACATAGTCACGGGATACAAGTATTCCATCTCATTTGTGAATAGTCCCAAGCAGACTTTTTCCACAAAGAATCGAATAATTTGAGAAGAAAAAAAATTAAAGGGTGGCTTAACAAGACTCCCTAAAATATAAAGGAGGAATAACCTCTTGAACCAATAAAGCAAGCTTACATTGATTTCTACAATTAATTCCTTAAGAAAGAAAACAGAGATAGCATTACAAAATATGTATGCATTAATTCATACTTTAATCTTTCTATTTAGAGTCTAATTTGGGTGGCTATAGATATCAAATCAATTCACAAGAGTTTGCATAATTCCCATTCCTGGATATTAAAACCACAGCATAACCACCAAAAACAGGAATCTAGACATATCCCTTTATACGTTGAAAAGAGAATGAGGAAGTCAGTCATGAAACTGGAAATAACAATCAGAAACACCTTGAGTCTCTGTGCAGAATAGGGTCACAGTTATATTACTATAAATAAAACCTCCTTTAAAGATACATAACTTCTCCCAAGTGACAATCTTAGCTTCAAGCCATGCAAACTCCATATCCTTTACACATCTAAATTTAAAATATACCTTAATAGGTTTGTCAGGAAAACAGAGGTCAACATTTTTTTTCTTTCAAGTACTGGTAGCTTGCAATCTATGGGTAAAAATTGGAGGCTACTAGATATAAGCATAGCTTTTTGCACCCGATGCTTAAGTAATATAAATAGAGGCTCTTTTGTAGTTACTAAAAATGTAGATTTTGGGCAGAAATATGGAACAAGTGTTTCCCTACTTCCAATTACCGCATTTTCCGGAGTATAAGAGCACCTTTTTTCCCTCAAAAAAGAGGGCGAAAATCTGGGTGCGTCTTTTACACTGAATACAGCATTTTTGGCCTACTGAAATCCTGCCCCCTTTGCAAAAATGGACGTGCAGAGGATTTGCGAGGTTTGCAAAGTGCTCCTGAGTGCTGGGGAGGGCAAAAATGAGCAAAAAAATGGGCCGTGTTTGCTCATTTTTGCCCCTACCCCCTGGTACTCCACAAGCCTCCCAAAGCTTCTGCATGCCCCCCCCCCCTTTTTTGTTGCAAAAAATGGCCCTATTTTGCTCTTTTGTGGCCCTCCCAGCCTGGAACTATTGTAATAGAAGCTACATGTTTATGTTGTCAGCAGTCCTAGCACATATTGTGCTAAAGCCTTCTCTTTTAATTATCAGAATTAAATTACTAAACCTCATTAGCAATCAGGTATTTATACAGCTGAAGTACCATGAAAAGTCCTGGAACCTTCAAACAAAAACTGCTGTTCGGTTTGGACAAAGGAGACCTGAATTAAATTTCTCTTTACCCTCCCTGCCCCCAAAAAATCAGACAATGACTAGTTTTTGAAGCAAGTAATTTCTTTCAGTCTAATCTTCCTGATCAAATGTATTTATAATATCTAATCTACATTATGCATTATTTTCCAAATTGGTCCCTACACCAAGTCAACAATGGATTTCTTTGAAGATTTTTTGTAAGATTTTTGCATTCTCTCTAACATATCACTAAACTACCACGACAGAATTCTACTCCAAAGTCTTCTCTTCACATATTTCATACACACTCATGGTTCATATTTTTGCTTAACTATCACTACTGCAATGCGCTCTACATGGGGCAGCCCTTGAAGAGTATTCGGAGACTTCAACTCGTCCAGAACGCAGCCGCGCGAGCGATTGTGGGTGCACCTTGGTACATCCATGTTATACCTATCCCCCGCGAGCTGCACTGGTTACCGATCAGTCTCCGGATACGCTTCAAGGTGCTAGTCCTAATTTATAACGCCCTTAATGGTATTGGATCTGGGTACTTGAGA